TTTTAAAACATTGAAAGCATGTTTGCTAGATTTCATAGCTAAGGCTATTTCTTCACTCCACCATGGTACTGGTTTTCGTTTACAAGGTTTTGTTTTTCCCACTGCAATATTAGCGCATTTTACTATAGTATCATTGAAATGATGAAGAGATGAATCTATGCTATCTTCTAGAATAAAGTTCGTAAGATAATTATTTAATAGATCTCTATATAAGTCCCAGTTTGCTGAGTTTAATTTCCATTTTTGGTAAACAGGAATATTTGGTTGATCATGCAAAATGGTTTCAATTGTTACAGGAAAATGATCGCTATTATATAGATAATCAAGACTATTCCAAGAAAAACTTGTAGCTAATGTTGTGATCACACAATGAAATATCGATGGCAGAAAAGTACTATTGTGGGAGCTGAAATGAGTAGATTTACCAGTATTCATTAAAATTAGATTTTGATTGTCTATTAATTTCTGAAGAAGTCTACCACATTTGTCTGTTTTTATACTACCCCATGTGATATTATGACAATTCAAGTCACCAAGTATTAGTTTGGGAGAAGGAATATCATCGATTAAGCGATGTAATTCTTCAAGTATATTTTCATTTGGATGAGGGAGGTAAATGTTACATATGTTAATAGGTCTGCAGTTGATATTGCATGACACTGATACAGCTACAGCTTCTAGATTAGTGTGTAGCTTAATTTCTTTGGTCTGAATGTGATTTTTTACAAAAATACCAACACCTCCACTAGCATATGTTGCGTCTCGATTTTTAAGGAAATGGGAATAATTTTTTATATTAAAGTTATTACTTTTAAGGTGGGTTTCCTGTAAACATATTACAAGAGGAGAAAGATCGTTTATAAGTAGATTAAGGGATTCTAAATTGTTAAAATAACCATTAAGATTCCACTGTAATATAAATGTATTATCCATTTTATTTTACAACGTGGGAAAGGGAGTTATCGCTTTCAATATCCGAGGATGAATCGGTAACTAAGGATTGTATCTTTTTTCGAAGTCTTGTTAGTTTATTTTTTATTTTGCGATCATGAATATGGTCATGGGCGAATAGAAGTATCTCTTTAAAAGAACTTATATCGGTTGTGTAATTTTCTACTATGGGGGTAGGATAATTTGAGTTTAATGCGTTACATATCGCGTCACAAAGAACTGTAAATTTAAGAGGAAATGTCGGGTATTTAGATTCGATTTTACCTTTAATAGATTCAAGTGACTCGAGGATATCAGATTGTGATGATTTGGCCGCTTAACTGTATTTTTTGGGTTTGGTAAAAATTGTTGGATCGGGTGGGGTTTCATGTATCTCAGGAGAGTCAGTAGATATTTGTCTCTTTGTTTTTTGATGGGAGGCATCAGTGTTCAAAGTAATAGGATTGTTATTTTTAGTCGTTTCGTTGTGAATATCTTCTGTTGTTGTTTGAAAGTTAGTGGTATTATTAATAGGATTTCCTGCTTCTGTTGTAAGATTTTGAGGTTTAGACGGAAGTGATATTGTAGATTGAGATTCAATGGGCGTTTCAGTTGATGTCAATTGTGATAGAACAGGGCAGTCTGTTTCGCGATGACCTTTTGACATACACTTAGGGCAATTTAAGTCAGTGGATAGATAAATTCGATAGTTGGTGTTGTCGAAGGATATTGTAATGAAATCTGGGATAGTGATATTTTCAATAGGAGTGATAAAAATTTGTCTTCGAAAGCTTAAAACGTGGTTATAGGCAGTGTCCGGCATTCCAACTCGCAGAAAAGTCATCTGGGATACAGTATTAAGTCCTAATTTTTTCAGCTCAACTTCAAGTAATGAGTTTGGTATGGTGGGACAGACATTTGAGATGACCAGTCTTGTAGCAGGAGTAATTAGACGTCTTACTTCAACTTCTGAATCATTAATGGATATTGATGTATGTGTCTTCAGCAATGTATTGACGACTTCGGTATTGGAGAGATAAATACAAATTCTGTTATTTGAGATGCGGGATGCAAATAATATATTTTCTGGTTTTACTATATTTCCTATTGCTATCACGTATTCATTTATTTTTATTCCATTGAGAGCAGATAGGACAATGGCTTGGTTTTTTGGTTGGATATTTAAATGAAGTAACAGCGTTGGAATATGAACATGGTTGATTATTGTTAGGAGAAGAAACAGAACCAACAGAATCTTCATCCATTTTTAAAAATATTATTCATATTTTGGTACCTCTATTCTTCAGACGGTCCTGTTTGTCACAACAGAATCGGTAATGAGGTACCAAAAGTTGTGTAGTTGATAAATCCGGTAGCAGGAACTTGTTTTGATATAAGTATCTTTAATTATATTATAATAAATACTACTTACAGTTTTTTTCCAAGTAGTTCAAATTTATTTTTATATTAACACTACACTTTATTGCAATTTTATCAACTGAATATAAATAATATCGCAAAAAACTAGGTGTAATTAGGCTAGCTATTAAACACGTCTGTTAACGACAAAGGTTCGACGTGAAGTCCGGACAAATAACTTATTTAGAGTTTTTTCATAGAATAAGTCTTATTTGACGTTGGTTAAAACGCAGATATGTCAGTTTTATTGGTTGAATAACTTTATTCATTGAATAGACTGCTATTTGTCGTTGGTGAAACCGGCCCTAATTGGTCTTTACCAAAGCCACCTAATTAATTAAAATATATATATATATATATATATATATATATATATATATATATATATACCGGGAAAGAAGTTCTTGCCAGATCAATACACTGAATCTAACTTTTTGCGAGTTCGATCAGTTTCTCGTTGTTCTTTTCTGTTCTGTTAATTTTCTTTGTTGATGATTTTGTTGTCCTGGTTTAGGTGAGAATTCTGTTTTGGTTAAGGTACATGCCCTGTTTCATATGTGAGAACGGAGACTACCTCTGTTCCGTATGTGTTCTTAAAAGATTCTTAACAACCTGATTTCAACGAACTATATCATGTAGGGTCTATAATAAATAATACAAGGTGAAATTTTGAAATTAATAATTTATAACGTGGTATAGTATTATTTTAAATTAAATTAGCTAAATACAGACAATACACTTCTACTCTAAGTGTTAGTATATTGAGAAAAATTTCTGTTTAGTAACCATGTTAACATTTTTTGTCATGAATAGTTAAAAAAACCGTCTAGATAGTCTGCTAAATTAAATTAAATCGGTAAATAATGTGGATTGTTATCAATCAGGTGTTGGTGTGTTGACATTTTACATTAAGATAATAAATTCCTAATTAAAAGCTAATTTCTTGCAGAAATAAAAATGAAATATTTAACTGAGATCAACCGAATTGAGATTTTAATGATGATCGGTTACGGGGAGAATTGTAAAAGTCTACTTGAAGTAGCAAACTTATTTAATCAGAGATATCCGCAGTTGCCTAATATTTCATAAAGGTACTGTATCTAAAATTTATGCACAATTCAGAGAACTTGGATATGTTAAACCATTCAAAAGAAAACCCAACTTCATTGGAGATGAGGTGAAAGTGGATATTTTGTTAAGTGTCGCAGATAATCCAACGTCAAGTTCATGTCAAATTGCACGTCAAAATAATGTGAGTCACACAACTGTCCTAAGGTGTCCCTATAAAGACATGAAACTGTCTGGTTCCAGCAGGCCGGTGCAACACCCCATTATACTTTAATGGTGAGAAATTACTTGAATGAAATGTTCTTCAATAAAGGTATTGGACGAAGGGGTACTATTGAGTGGCCAGCTAGGTCACCCGATCTTACGCCTTTTGATTTTTTTCTGTGGGGTTATCTCAAGAATAAAGTATATGCAACATAACCAATTAGCATTGAAGATCTCAAATAAAGTATAACTACAGAAATACGGAATATTTCATCTCAAACTTTAAACACAGTTCGAGACGAATTTTATAGGAGACTGTGTTATTGCCAACAACAAGGTGGAGAATATTTTCAGCATTTATTTTATCCACTCAATTACCTCAAGTATTCTATGAATTAATTGTCTTGAATGATATAGTTCTTTGAGATCAGATTGTTAAGGAGCTTTTAAAAGTATAAGAATATACAGGGTGTTTTATTTAAAATACAGATTATGGACTATGCCAGTCTTGCGTGTATCACCCTGTACATTTAAATTTATGTTTAAAAAGCAACCATTGAAATTTAAAAGTAAAGGTATCTCAACGTTTTTTATTATTTTCTAAAATAATTACACAAACAATTATATTCCATAAGTGGTTTCCACATTGTATATAGCCTATCCGCCGAAGTCCCAAGGATGTGCATAATGGTTAAACGACATATCAAAACACTGCCGTTGATGAATCTTTATTCTAGGGATTTAACAAAGGTAAATATAAAGATCTTTATGTAAAAATAGAGGGAATAAGAACAAAAAAGATAATTCTCGAATCAGCATCCTTGAGCCATGAGTACATGAGTCTCTTTTTTCTCTAGATCTCTGATCTGTCATATATCTTTCATAGCTTTCTCTTCTTTAGTTTGAACGTAATTGCTTGTTGTTTGCCGATTTTTCGAAGCACTTTCTCATCAGTAATGCAATCTTTTCAGAATATTCAGAGAAAATTCCGCCAACTTAGAAAATATATATATATATATATATATATATATATATATATATAATATATATATATATATATATATATATATATATATATATATTCTATGTTAGACGTTTTTCTAGATGCATTGGATATGTCACTTGGTACATTGTAACAATATGTATATAATTTTTTTAACAAAAAGTTATTAATAAACCTGACAATACTTTACCTCATGATCAAATTATGTCTTTTTAATTTAAGGTTACCGCATTTTAAATCAGAATTTTTACGCATTGTACAAAAGGATAAAATGTTATTTCACTGACAATTTTACATAATTTGCTATATCCGTTTGCTCTTAACACTGAGATAAATATGTCAATAGTAAAGTAATCAGCAGTATTTTTGGAAATACCATAAAGCCACTATTTATAACGATTACATTTAAGTGAGATATAGTTATTTGATATTTTCGATTCGATGGAAATGTTGTGGGGAATATTTTTTGCTATTAGTTTTTATTTGTTGGGTGAGTTTCATTATATTTCAATTGTAATTCAATTTAGATTTTAATAACTAAACTCTCCTGCACTAGAAAACTAGTTTGCACTCTAAACACTTTATTCTGCATATAGTTTCTATTTTATATATATATATAAATATATATATATATATATAGATATATATATATATATATATATATATATATATATATAAATATATATTTATATTTATACATATATACATCTCATCCGCCAATCCTCCATGTCTAAAGCATGCTCCTCCTCCAAACCTCTCGATTCCATCGATCTTCTAATTCCTTCATTCCATGAGCGTCGAGGTCTACCTGTTTTTCTTCTTCCTGGGGGCTTCCATCTGTGAAGTTTTTGGGGCCAACGTTCGTCAAGCATTCTCAATAGGTGTCCAAACCATTTTAAACCTCGTCTTTCTATTCTGTCTATGACCGTTTCTGTAGCATTCATGTTATTTCTTATAGATATGTTGGTCTTTTTTTCCAACCTTGATATTCTAGCACTTCTTCTCAAATAATCCTTTTCAACTGCCAATAATCTTTTCTTTAGGTCTGCATTAATAGTTCATACTTCAGAGCCATAACAAAGAACTGATTCAACCATGGTTTGCAGTATTCCTTTTTTGCCTATTCTTTTTTGTTTCTTTTGGAAATGTTGCGATCCCACCATAAGGAGTTCAGACATCCTACTATTTTACGACACTGATTAATTTGGTGTTTATTTCGGTTTCTTCCAAGCCGTTCTTATCAATGAGTGCACCTAAATATTTAAATTTTTCTACTTGTTTGATTTTCACGTCCTCGTCAATCAACACTTCACACCTTGCATCTGAATTGGTAACTAAATATTTTGTTTTCTTCATGCTGACTTGTAACCCCCATTTTACATATTCTCTGTATAGACGCTTTATCATAAATTCTAGATCATAAGAACCTTGAGCTAGGACAACTTGGTCATCCGCAAAGTTCAGGGAGAACAGTACGTTATTTCCTATGGCAATTCCCATTCCCTGGCAGTGGTTATTTCAATTTTGGAGAGCTGCCTCAATAGATAAATTAAACAGTAAGAGTGCCATTCTGCATCCTTGTCTTAGTCCTTTAGTTACTTTTATTGGCTCTGATAGTCTATTTCCGATTTTTAGGTAAGTGGTGTTATCCCTGTATACTTCTGTGATTATTCCTAAAAGGTATTGACTAATGCTGAGTTGTTGTAAAGCCTGCCATAATTTAAGTCTTTGAACTGTATCATACGCCTTTTATAGGTCGATTAAGGCTAGATGTACTTCGGTACCAACCGCTAACCTTTTTTCTGTTAATTGTTGGAGTATAAACAAGTTATTAGTGTAAGATCCACCAGGCGTAAATCCATTTTGGTCTTCGCTAAAAAGATGTCCTACATCATCTTATATTTTTCCAGTTATTATCTTTCCAAACAATCTCCGGAAAGTAGGTAGGACACTTAATCCTCTGTAACAGTTAGGATCTTTTCGATTACCCTTTTTAAAGATGGACACTTGGTTAGCGGTTTTCCATGCAGATAGTACTTTGATTTGTTAGCAGCATTGATTAGAAAAGTTATTTGTTCAATTAGGAGTGGACCTCCTGCTTTAAGTAACTCTACAGCTATATTGCCAGATCCTGGAGATTCCGTTTTTCATTTTAATTAACGCAGTACGGACCTCGTTGTTAGTAGTATTAATGTTACTATTTGTTTTTCTCTCAATACTGTATTCCTCTCCCATAAATTGCAATCTGGACTCTTGGAATAAATTTTTATAGTGATTTTTCCACTTTTCTATAGGAATTAAGTTGCTTAAGGAGTTATGAGTGTTAGGTATCATCACATCAATGTATTGCTTGCCTAGTAAGTTTATTAACTAGTATGAGATCCGGTCTATTATGTGCCACTTGTTGGTGAGCATAGTGCGGTCCCAGTATAGCTTTTAGTTGTCATTTTCAAGTATTCTGTCAGGAACGTATTAATATTAAGGAAGATAGTCGGTTTGGAGAAGTCTTAGTTTGTCAGCTAGTTCTTGGGGGATAATTTTATCTACTGAGTCATGGCGTTCTTTATAATCAGTACCGACAAACGCCTGGCAGCCCCGGGTAAGATGTTGGATGGTTTTGGGCTTGGCATCCATATCGGCATTTGTTATTTTCAACTTGAGGATCTTTAACAATTTATTTTAGGTAATTTTTTGTTGGAATAACCTGATGCTGAATGGCAAGTAGGAAACCCTCAGTCTCGGAAAATATCTTTCCTGATGTCAACCAATAGCTAGACGCTGTATTGTCGACATATCCTTGGCTGAACTCTTGCTTAGTCAGGTGGTTTATGTGCATTTCTTGTTCCCTCAGTTTAAGTGGAGTTGTATCGTCTACTGCGCAAATTGCTCGATTTAAAGTAGATGTGAGCCTGCACCTGAAAATAAGTTTTTAAATTAGCAATCTGTTTATCCAGTTGCTCACTTGTGTCCATAAGTCCTCTTCTTCCTTGATATTTTGGTAATGTTGTTCTCTCTATACTTTTTGCTGAAGACTTTCTATATCCGTTTTTGATCACTTGATAATACCAAATGAGTAGCTAAGCGCGGAACAGGCGTACGTATTTAATCTATCTAATTAGCCTTCTTCGGTCCATCTTTGGACATAGGCCTCCCCAATCCTTTTCCATTCTTCTCTGTCTGTCGCAACAGTCATCCATCTAGAGCCCACGTGCTTCTTGATATCATCTGCCCATCTCATTTGGGGCCTTCCTCTGCTTCGTTTATATTCCCACGGTCTCCAACTTATAAGAATTTTGTTCCATCGGTCTTCTTTTTGTCTTATATTGTGTCCGACAAATCTCCATTTCAATTTTGCAACTTCTTGTCTAACATCCCTCACTTTTGTTTTCTCTCTTATCCACTCGTTTCTCTTTTTATCCATTAGTCTTATGTGCAACATTTGTCTTTCCATTGCTCTTTGGGTTTTTATGATTTTGTCCATGTTTGCTTTTGTAAATGTCCACGTTTGGGAGCCATACGTAAGAACAGGGAGTACGCATTGATTATATACTTTGGTCTTAAGATGCTGTGGATATCTTTTGTTTTTAAGAATGTAGCTTAGTTTGCCAAATGCCGCCCATGCCAGTCTAACTCGTCTCTTGATCTCTGCTGTTTGGTTCTCTTTGTTAAGTTTTATAGTTTGACCAAGGTATATATAATCCTTAACTTGTTCTATTTCATCTTGTCCGATTCTCATTGTGATGTCTTCATCTGTATTTGTTATAGTTTTGGTCTTGCTGTAATTCATATTAAGGCCTATCTTTCCAGCTTCTACGTCCAGTTCTTTCATCATTTCAAATAATTCATCTTTTTTATCGGTTATCAATACGATGTCATCAGCGTACCTTAGATGGTTCAAGCGTTGTCCACAAATTTTTATACCTTTTTTTTCCCATTCTAATCTTTTAAAAGTATCTTCAAGAGCCTGATTGAAAAGTTTCGGTGATATTGTATTACCCTGTCTCACGCCTCTACTTATTTGTAATGATTTTGTTCCTTCATATACTTTAATTTTTGTTTTGGCTTCCTTATATATATTGGTTATTAGTTCCGTATATCTGTGGTCAATTCGGCTGTTAATCAAAGAACTTTTCACTGCCCAATGTTCGATACTGTCGAAAGCCTTTTTGAAATCTATGAACGCCATATATAGAGGAATGTGGTATTCATTTGCTCGTTCTATAAGTATTTTCATACTTAGTAAATGGTCACTTGTGCTGAATCCCTTTCTAAAACCAGCTTGTTCTTTCGACTGGTATCCATCGAATTTTGTCGTCAATCTATTGGTTAAAATTTTTGTTAGGAGATTTAATACCTTAAACAAATTTTTGCTATTAAGATATGAAGTTAGTTCGATTTTTATTAGTTTATGGTCAATTTTTGGCGCTTGGTGTACTAAAAGATATTTGTACATATTATTTTTACCCATTGCTACGATGTTTTGGCCATCTTGCATATCGAACCCTCCGGGGTGAACCTTTCCTCTGGCTATATTTAGTATACTAGTAGACTGTATACTAGGCACTTGTCTAGTATAAAGTGCTGCTAATATCATTTGAGAAGGTTTCTACTGTTTTTAGCATCTAATCTAAGTAGTTTCGAGTAGAAGACATTACTTTCAAATCATCCATATACAACAGATGATTAAGTTGCGCCACAACAGTAAGTATAGTTATTTTTGATGCTAAAACCTAAGTCAGTGGAATTCAGTTCCTGAGATAGTGGGTTCATCGCTAGACAGAACCGAAGTGGACTCAACGAATCCCCTGGAAAAGGCCGCGGTGATTGGGATATTTTCAGTTTCGATATTATTTTCACCAGGTATTTGAAGGCGAACTTTAGTCTTCTACTTTGTCATTAAATATTTTAAATAGGTCACTATATTATTATCGAATTTATATATTTTCAACATATCTATAAGCCATTCATGAGGCACTGAAACCGTCGTATTCTTAGCAATTGCTGTTGCTGCACACTAAATCATTATATGCAAACATTCCAATGTGTGGCCTGTGGAAGTATTTTGTCAGTTCTTCTATTATGCCTACTGTGAATGGGGGATGGTCTCTGGGTATTCTTAGAACCGATGCCCAGAGGGTAACAGGTTCTAGGTATTTTTTATTAAGGAGTAGGGAGTATCGTTCTTTCTAAAGATATTTAACGATGTGTCGGATTAAACAATGCTTATTGTCCAAAGTGAAGGAATTCTTATGAAGTTGGAATAGGTGCTTGCCTAACTCTTTTGTAGAAAATGGTTTCATATTCCTATTTTCAGTATATATGTTTTTAAAACGATCAGTAAATATGTTGTATTGTAATAAATTTAATGTTTATTTTGTTTTTATTTAAATGTTAAGCTCCTGGGATAACCTACTCAATGTATCTGTGTCGTGTTCTTCATCCTCGTATTTGAGTTTTCTGAGTTGTTTCGTCAGTTTTTTTTTAACTTTG